TGGGACATTTAAATCCGTAATTGTTTAATTGCCTTGAAATAGTGACACTTGCACGATTAGATTCGTGTCAGGGGGATACGCTGGCTAATCTGAAATAACCTTGGTAGTGCGTTATTTGGTTAGAATAGGGCTCCTATAATACGTAAGGTAATTGGGGAATTACATCTTACAGGCATACCTATGATTATTTCTCAATTAGAGTAATGATTAACGGGCATACCTTAGTCACCGACACACTAAGGAGGGGTTGACCGTCATCACCTGTTTGGCAGTTTTAACCTATTTATTAATAAATAATTGGAATTGCTTGTGAATCGATGATCAATTAGGTGAACCATTGTTGAAGTTATTTCTTGGCTAGATCTTTAATTATCATTATCTTGATTTTAGTGAATTGCCATTTGATTTTTAGTTGCCTATTTTATTTTATTTTTAATTGTTTTCTTGTTTTAATTGTTTTAGACCTTTAATTATTATTACTCTAAGTTTAGTGAATTGTCATTTAATTTCTAGTTAGTTATTTATTTTTATTTTCTTATTTGAATTTCTTTGATTGTCGTCGTTCCTACAAAATCACCCCCTGTGTTACTTTGGATTTCTTAAGAGACAAATATACCCAGTCCCTGAGGATACGATCCTACTTGCCCTGTCTACAAATTCATAATTATTTGTGAAAAAACCATCCCATTCGGGTATATCGGATCAAACAATTTCTTCGGGAGTAGGGTGAATCAAATAACCCATTGCATACCTAGAGTCCCTGCTCCAGTACTTGAAATTGGTTTTTGGTTACTTTAACTGGCAATTAGGTTTAAGTTTATTATTGTACAGGCTTCGACAACTTGTCACCTCTCTTGTTTTAAGGTTTCCTTAACATATTTGTTTCATGTTACATGTTTCATGTTACATGTTACTTGCATGCTTACCCTTGCTATATTTTAAAGAATTTGTAACCCTTTTTTGTATCTCCTCTCCGTTCCCTTTTTTCTAGTTGAAAAGAGTTTGCACAATGCGTGCTAGAAGGTAATGATGGAAGTAGCATACTTTTGAGTACTTTTTCAAAACCCTATTCTACTCACTTTAGCATACATTAAATTGTTAAGTGTATAGGTGAGTATATCTATATATTAGATGCGTGGGGGTATCCAAATTTTCGTAGATGCCGGCAGTAGGGATTAATTAGAGGTGTCGCAGGGTGTGTGAGCTTGTACTCCTGGGGAAGGGTTGGTCCCGAACTTTGTACTTTTTTGGGGCTGCATTAATAATAGTTTGGTTTAACCAAAAAAAAAAGGTTTTCTTTTTATTTTTATTGGGCAATATAATTTTGGCGTTGGATAAAAAAAAATCTATATATTTGAATCAAAAGGGTTTTACGAATGCCTTTGTTTATGAGTTACAGCTCGGAAGTATAACACTTTCACAAATCTCTTATACATAATTTGTATCGCTTTGTATAGAAAGTGTCAATGGTAAACGTAGAGGTAAAATTCAGCATTTACCTTGGAAATCAATAGCTAATAGACATAAGTGTAATGTAATAATTTGAGGGGGAACTATGATGAATTTGTTATAAAACTCAAAGGAGATTTGTTAAATTATCCCAATGTCCAAATATACTACATTATTTGCCCAAAGAATGCTTATTCGCCTGAAAGATCTATAAGAAGAATGGAAAAAAAAACCGAAGAAGAAGAAGACGTGGCCAGCCCAAGAAATCTCATTCTTATATTTGGCCCGTAAAGTAATATCAAAAGGTGAATGAAGGAGAACGATTGCACTTCGCATAACATTAACATTCCAAACTTTCTACAAAGTCTCAGGATAAGTGGCATATTTCAACTTTGCTATTGATCTGTCTTTATGGCCAATTAGTGAACTGAACTTCGATACTTTAAAAGCCAATTGAAGATTTTGAAAATGTACTGGAATCATTAAAATATAGACATTGCATCCGGCAGTCAAGTAGGCATTCCACATAATCCAAAAGAAAGTAAAATGGTATGAGATTAGGTAGGGTATAGAGAAGCTTATAAGAAGCTAAAGACATGATTTAATAGAAATCAGTGGCTAACATGGTCAGCAATAGTAACAAATCCACTAAATGTTACTACTAATGTATGGAATGTATAGACCCTTTGACAAAGATGATGACCTCTTGAGTATGACATTTAGTAGACCGAATTGATTGCCTTTTTAGTTAATTAAATCATCATAAATTCATTACATCAACTAGGTTCATCTACAAAGTCCTTTTGCCATTGCAATATTGATGTCTAAATCGAAATAAATTACAGCCAATAGATTATTTTTCTTCATGAATCTTCTTCTTTTTTTTGTCATAGAAAATTCTGATTAACTATGAAATATTAATGCACTATTAGGACCAACTTCTACGTATGAGACTGGAAAAGCTGAACTACGAAGCGCCATAGTTGATCACTGGGCATCTATTTTCTAGGAAAATTTGTAATTGATTTCAAATCTATAATTTTCCACTTGTGCCAAGAGAATTTTTTTCAATTATGCACTAAAATATACTAAATTTGGGAAAGACTAAATGTTGATTTTCGTATACAGAATACTGATAATGGAAGTAGTTGCAGCAGCGGTTTTGTTTTTTGTTTTTTGTTTTTTTGGAAAGACAAACCCTGTACACGTTGGAGGGTTTCACTCCAAATTTTATTAAATCGGCAGTGGTTAAAATTGTTCAACTTGACTTGTCTCTTATGGGCTAAAGCTCCTGGTAGTAAGGAAAATTGGGAGTTGTTGTTAGAATGGGGGATAGATCACGGACGTTTGCTAGATTGATCTTGGTTGAATTCTGTCTGTTTTGTTTGTTTTCACATGCATAGTATTGTATAATGGGTATAGCTCGCTCCAGATTTTTTGTTGTAGTAAGAGGTTTTGCTCCTTTGTAAAGCTTATGTTCCAATGATAAACGGGAAGATGTTTCATTTGCTCAAAAAATAAAAAGAACAAAAAATCTCTAAAGAATTGTTCAAGGATGGCAGTTTTCTTTGTTTTCTAGAATTTCAGACTTGTATATCGTCAAAATACAAAAATTAAGGGCCATACGTTTTCAATGAACTAGATATTTGCACTAATTCTTAGTTCTTTAAACTACAATTGTCCAAATGATCGACTATTCATCGCTTTTGAATGTATCTAGAAGTATGACATCACATTTCTGAGAACATAAATATAGATCCATGAAGCTAAGTTATGGAGTAGCAAGTTGAAATTCGGGGAAAAAATGAGTTGAATGATATGAGGAGAGAAAATGTAAATAAGAGGTCCCCACTTCGAGATCTTCCATTTATACTAAAAGGAAAAGTTAAAATTTTTATGGCTAGAAATTTTCAGGGAGACTAATTCAACAATGGACTTCTGTGAGCTGTGCTTGGCTTAAGCCGCACTTGCCGAGAGGGAGACAGAGTACCTATCACATTTCTCAATTCTTTCCTTTTCTACGGAAGCTTCTTCCTTTTTCCCCCTTCCTCTTCTTTCCAAAAAATGGAGAAAATTGCCGTTGGATTTTGATGCAAGTGATTATAATTTATAAGCGTGGTTTCCTTTAATTTAATAAGATAATAGTGAACATGAGGAGAAAATGAACTGATTTTTTTTCTTATCTTAATTTTTAGGCAAGGAGGTTTGCCCTGCCAAATTGTGAGCATATTTTTTTTTCCAACTTCTTTGTCTGCAGAATTGTCTTTAGACAAGAACAGGAAAGAAACGAAAATTTGACTTTTGACTCTAGTTGTTTTCTGAACACAATTACTTACTAGGGGCACCAATTTGATACCTTCACTAACAATTCTTTTTTGGAAATACTGTTTATAAATTATAGCACTAAAATCCTGAATGAAAAAAGTTCAAAGCATTCAATTTGTTAAAGATTCAATCTAACAGGGGCACTGCAGTTATATTTTTATCTGGTTTTATGTAGTTATTTTACTTGATACTATTTGATTTACAAGTACATTATATTATTGTATTAAAAAATTAACATATAGAAATTAAATATTTCATATATATTTAGAATATAATATTTTGTTATGAAATGGGACATGATGCAAATGGACATGCCAGTATCCCCAACAAACACGTGAAGTGGAATTCTATCGTAACGTGTACTAGCAAAAGCCACATAGTTTTGTCATTCATGATATGCAAGTGGCCTGATTAGGATGCGTTTGACAAAAGTTAAGCGTGAAAATTGAAGTCTAAAATTTGAAAATTGAAATTTGAATTCGTTAAATTATTGAGTTGTTAAGTATTAAATCTAATATATTTGAATGCATATCACATTTAGTGATAAGTGAATAACTTATCACTTAATTTTGGGAATAAGTTTTACCTAGAAAAATCAGTGACAATTAATTAATTCAGATGTTCAATCTTTGGTTATCAAACGATGTGAATATATTAAAATTTGAATTCATTAAATTTAAGTGTTGAATTAGGTTATCAAACAGGGCTTTAATCCTTTCTTAGCTTTTCCAAAACTGACTACCACTTATATTGCTATGTGAAAGTGTTTCTTTTCTTTACCATTTAACCTAAAATTATTCTAATACAGGTTCTACACTATTTTATTTCATGAATTGTAACTGACAAATTGATATGTCTCATATTGTTGAGTGCTTAAACTCAAATGCAAGTGTGAAGTATGACTAAAACATAGTTAGGCAAGTTAATGTATTAATGAGCACTAAATTAAATGCTGTAGACAACTTCAAGTCATAAAAATACACACAATAGTTGTGACTTGTGAGTCTACATTATTCAATTCCAAAATTATTTATATCAATTGATCAAAATCAATCTTTCACAAATACCATTCTAGAAACCAAGAACAAAAATTCCCACTTATTGACACTGTCAAAGTCAATGCACGAATTAAAGTCAAACGTGATTTCTGTTTTCATTCATTACTCAACTTAAATTTTTTCAACAATAACAGCTCTCCCTTCTTCACACAAGCTGATCCATTTTCCAGTTCTCCTCCCTATATGTACCCTTTTTTCTCAAACAGCTTCTGCCCACATCCATTTCTCTTCCTTCAAGCACAAAAATGAAGAATTTTCCAACCATCATTTTCTCCATTATGGTTCTTGTCGGAGCCTTCCCACAGCTGATTTCAAGTCAAAACTGTGGCTGTGCACCAAACTTATGCTGCAGCAAATTCGGCTATTGCGGCAACAGCAACGACTACTGTGGCCCCGGCTGCCAATCCGGCCCTTGCACTTCTGCACCCAGCGGTGGTAATAATGGTGCTTCAGTTGCTGGTATTGTCACAGACGCTTTCTTTAATGGGATTGCTAATCAAGCTGCTTCGGGTTGTGCTGGAAAAGGGTTCTATACTCGATCGGCATTTCTTGAAGCTCAGAAGTCGTATTCTAAGTTTGGAACTTCTGGTTCTGCTGATGATTCTAAAAGGGAGGTTGCTGCTTTCTTTGCTCATGTCACTCATGAGACTGGACGTAAGTGTTTTCAACAACTCTACCAAAGAGAATTACTTTGGAACTTTCTATAAAATATTTTTAGTAACTTTTCTAAATGTTGGTACAGTAATATATAGATTATTTTTCTGGACTCACACTTGGGTAAGTCCATTTTCAAAAATTCAATAGTCCAAATAGTGTCAAACCACTTGGTAAGATAGTATAGCACACTTTGGTCTATTGGATTTTTGAAAACCGGATCTACCAAGTTTTGACTATTTTTCTTTGCAATATTATCCAAGAACTTTCTTCAAAAACTAAAACTTTGACAAGAAATACTTATTATTGTAATAATTTATCATGAATATGGGTGCCACTTATAATTGGATAGAGAAATTATTACTTTCCGTTCATTTTACTTTGTTGTAGTAGTCAACTTTATAATTTAGTAAGCATGTGATTACTTACAACTTTGTAAATTTTAAATCAGTACTTACAACTTTGTAAATTTTAAATCACTTGTGGTCCATTCAAAAATATTGATGGCTCTTCTTTTCTTTTTCTTTTTTTGGCAAAATAAACCAAGCTTCAAAAATTTTCTATTTAATTATCATTAGTTTTATTGAAGCCAAGTTCTAGTAATTTTATTATTTAGTAATTGGAGTTTTATTTCATAATTAATCGTGTTGTTTCTTATTCAACGATTCTGATAAATTATCAATAGAGTATTAGGTGGAGTATTTTCTAAAAATTTAGGAGAGCCTAAAATAGTCTATAGAAAATTTATTAAATTTTTATTGTGGTAAGACTTTCTTCTTTGTTTAAAATGTTAATGACGTTTTGAGTTAAGTTATTTATTCTCTTTTCGTCCACATAAATATATTTGTTTGTGATTCTTAAATCCTTTCAATTCTATAATTTTGCAATTAATTGTTATTAGAACTCATAAAATTTGTTTTCTACACTTTTCATTATCATATCATCCGACAATCCTTGTCTTACCTGACATCCATTTTTTCTTTTTATCAATTCGACAGAATGGTAACTAATACGACTTCTCTATATCATGCAGATCTGTGCTATATAGAAGAGATAAACGGCCCGTCCAGAAACTACTGTGACAAGAGCAACACTCAGTATCCATGTGTGCCAGGCAAGGGGTATTACGGCCGCGGTCCACTACAAATATCATGGAACTACAACTATGGACCAGCAGGACAAAGCATTGGGTTCAATGGACTAAGTCAACCTGAACTTGTAGCCAGAGATAACGTTATTTCGTTCAAAACTGCCTTGTGGTTTTGGATGAACAATTGTCATTCTCGTATCATTTCCGGCCAGGGTTTCGGGGCTACAATTCGTGCCATTAATGGTCAGCTTGAATGTGACGGTAAAAATCCAAACACTGTTAGTGCTCGTGTTGGGTATTATACTCAATATTGTCGCCAACTGGGTGTCGATCCTGGTCAGAATCTCAGATGCTAGGGTACTTCTGGAGAGCCGAAAGTGCTCGGTATGTTGAGCTATAAAGGCTTAAAACTGATTGGAAATTAATAAAAATTAGCAAAAGGTGTTTACCTTTCTTGCTCTTTACAAGCGAAAGTTGTTTAAGTTTTGAAATCATATAATTGATTTTGTTGGTCTTGTTTCGATTTCTTGGAGTATTTACAAATAGGCATGTTCCAGTTTTGATCCCTTGATCATATTTGTCGGGCTTTCGACTTTGGTTTGGTGTTTCACTCTCAACATGTCTCTCCATTGAAGTTTCCTCACGTCTTTCATTTACTTTTCATGTTTCAATATGCTATTGGCAATTTTAGCCGTGATGTTTCTCAAGGTATGATATTTGAGGATCATAACTATACTAAGATTATGAATTACCATATGCAAGGGTCTAAATGCACCAATGTTAAGGCAATTAATATTGCGAGTAAGCCGAAGCATAAGAGACTAAGGAACATAGAGCGCTATTATCCGAAGTACTGAAGACTTTGAATAAGATCTAATTCAACTGGCTGAAGAGACTAATTAGGGAATTATAATGTCTTTGGTTCAATTCTGTTTTATCTTTCTGCCACCAAAAGGCCAATCAATAATTCATCTGCACACGCATGGTGAGACAATGAACGACGAGAAACAAATAACTTTCATTTGTAAAGTCTATGAGAATTTGGGGAAACTTATGCGTCGAAAAGATTTTTTTTTTTCAGCTCATGGTAGAGACCAAAAAATTGGGCAGCATAATAAGCCCTCGAGTAGTAAATGTAGTTTTTATATTGGTATCATTTCCTATACGCTACCAAAATTTTACCAATTAATTCGTATAGTATGCAATAAGAACTCTAAAGGAAAAAAAAAGGACTATGCATTTTATTTAGGATTCTATATTTATCAACTGGATAAAATTGGATCATTTGAGTTCTTTTCACTACAACAGTTTGATAAAATTTTATATGTCCAATACTTTGCATGATACGGTAAAGATCGTGCTTTAATTGTAAAGCTTACACCCTTTAAAATGTTTTTTTTTAAGCCAAATGAAAAGTATGTGTAGCAGGGCAGCCCGTGGATCTAGAATGGTACAAATATCATCTGTGTTCTAACTCAAACACGAGACTGAAATAGGACTACAACAGAGTTTGGCGTCATTAACATCAGATGATACAGACAACATCAAGTTATCTTTTTTGCACGCATTATATTTGTGACTTGTGACTTGTAGTCACAATTGTTGATATCAATTGGCCAAAATTTTTCTTTTCCACAATTCCCATTCCGAATGCCAAGAAGAAGGTTGCTACTTTTTGACAGTGCCAAAGTCAATCGGTTAATTGAAAGTCAAGCACTAATATTGCTTTTTATATCCATTCCATTCAGTGCTCAACTTCAAGATTTCCAACAATAGCAGTTCTCCATACTTCACACAAGCTGATCACTTTTCCAGTTCTCTATGTCATAAATATCCTTCTTACTCAAACAATTTCTGTCCACATCCTTTCCTCCCTTTTCAAGTACAAAAATGAAGAATTTTCTGATCATGGTTTTCTCCATTGCAGTTCTTGTCAATGTTTTTAATCTCGGACCGGCCAGCGAATCGGAGAGGGGGCCGGTTCACGGTCCGACCGACAGGTTCAACGGTTCAACAGTTTTTTTTTTTTTTGTACTTCACAGGTCTTCACTTTATAGTCTACACTGGAACTTGACGGCTAATGTACAATCTAACATGGTTATTAATAACTTAAGTCCCTAAAATACATTCACCAATATAACTTAAAAGTTAAATCTAAATTTAAGTTGAGATAATAATAAATTTTTTAAAAGTTATACATGAAACCTGGAATGATAAATATAACTAAAATATCATAATTCACTCCAAGTTGTCATAAATTCATTACAAACATAAATAGATATAGTCCAAATGTTCATCAATTATCACAAACAAAAACACAAAAATAAATAAAATAAATGTTAACATTCTTTCACAATTCTAAAAAAGTCCATAAAAAGTTCAACTCATATTCAAGGCAAACAATTCGAATAACAAACTTCCATCATTGGCATAACAAGGCAACAGCATCCCCTTCACAATTTCATCAATTGAACCTGAAAAAATTTAAAAGTTTATTACAAAAAATATAAATCTAATTGGTGAAACTAAGAAAAAAGCCAAAAATTTTAGGGATTTTTTTAATTTAATCTAATTGGTGAAGCTTGGTCTTTTAGGGTTTTTTTTATTTAATCTGATTTTAGTTTTTTTGTTAAGTTAAGTAAAATTCTACATAACAAAAGCTTGTCCTTCAGTTGTGGTTTAGTGGTAAGCATACCTTATTATGGTCATCAAGACTAGAGTTCGAATCCCAATAGCCTCCATTCTTGTTATTGTTTTGAATGTGAGGTTATTGTTTCAAGTTTTTAGCGATTCACACGGTTTCCAGCAGTTTTCCACTAGCTTCCGGGTTTGATACTGGACCGGATTGGTGCCGCGGTCGGTCCTGAAAACATTGGTTCTTGTAGGGTCCTTTTCCCCGCTGATTTCAAGCCAAAACTGTGACTCTGAACCAGATTTATGCTGCAGCCAGTGGGGCTATTGTGGCACCAGCGACGACTATTGTGGCAAAGGCTGCCAGTTCGGCCCTTGCACCGCTGCATCAGATGGTGGTAATAATGGTGTTTCAGTTGCTGATGTTGTGACAGACGCTTTCTTGAGCGGGACTTCTGATCAAGCTGCTTCAAGCTGTGCTGGAAAAGGGTTCTATACTGCATCGGCATTTCTTGAAGCTCTGAATTCGTATTCTGAGTTTGGAACAGTTGGTTCAGTTGATGATTCTAAAAGGGAGATTGCTGCCTTCATTGCTCATGTGACTCATGAGACTGGACGTAAGCTTTGAACAACTCCACCAAGGAGATTTAGTTTTTTTTTTTTGAAATTTTTAGTAACTTTTCTAAGTCTGAGATCCTATTTACTAAATCTTTGTACAGTTCTACATAGGATGTTGTCCTGTGCACTGTTGTCCATGAGCTTTCTTCAAAGATAACGACATTAATATGAAATACTTACTAAAGTCAAATAACTTAAAATGACCCACCTAAAAAAAAAAAGAAATTTATCATGAGGGTGTGTCTCTTATAACTGGGCAGAGGGGTTATTGTTTTCCTTTTTCTTTTCTACTTTGTTGTATTGGTTATTTATTTAGTCTGTGATTACATGTAACTTTACAATATCTTTATAACATATGGTCCCTTCTTAATTATTGATGACATTGTTTTGGGGTTGTTCTTGATTGATTATTATAACTGACTATAGATTCTGATTTTAAATAATCAATTTTTTTATTTTCTCATTTATTTTTGTATTTAGATTATATTTTTTTTAATAGTAAAAACATCTAAAATCCATGATGTATCAATGGCTTTCATATATGCAATTGAATACAGTGATAATTGATACAGACTTCTCTACATTGCGCAGATTTGTGCTACATAGAAGAGATAGACGGCCCCTCCAAAGATTACTGTGATGAGATGTGAGAACCCGGAAAAATTTTATATGTTTTCTAGACATTATTTTATTTCCTGTCTATAAATTTATACTTTTCTTCAATATATTAATTTTCTATACATTTTTATAAGTGAATATAGTTTTCAAATTATTTTCTTGATATAAGTTAGTGTACGTTAAATTTGAAGTGTAGTATTGACGTGGGACCCGCTAGTGCGGAAAGTTCGGTGAAATTCGACCAATTAGGTTAAGTTTGGGATACTGAGATTAATTTACTAGGTGCTAAGAGATAACTAGAGGCTACTAAATGGATTGGTGTGAGAGGACAAAAGGATAACCATGTATTAATTGAAGTGACAAGTGTCACTTGGAGATTTATTCTTACATTTTGACCACTATTCATTACTTTACCAAATAAATCAAAAAATTGCCCAAAATTCATCCAAAATTGAAAGCTTCTTGGCCGGCCCTCTTTCTTGAGAAAAGAAGAAAAATCTCTCCACTTTCTTACTTCTAAACTTGCTCAATCTTTCATTCCAACCGTTTAATATTCAAATTACTCCATAAAACCTCTTAGTTTAGTGGTGTTAAGGTTGGTTGTGAAGTGGTTTGGAAGGCCAAGGTGTTAAATTGGATCTTTTCTTGGGTTTGCAAGGTATGTGACCAAGGAACCTTCCCTTTGATCCTATTAATGCTCAATTGGTACCTTATGTGAGTTAAAGAGATAACTTTAGGTGTTGTTTCATGATTTTTGATAGAAATTGGTGAAGTTTTACATTTATTCATGATTTTTCTGTTTTAATATGATGAATATTGTGTGGCCATGTATGATGGTTGGGAATGGTTTAGAATGAAGCCTTAGTGTGTAAATTGTAGCTATTTGCGGAAAATTTCTGCTTTGAACCGAAATTTCCAGGTTAGGGTTCCAATTTCTCACTATTCTTCCCGGCACTGTTGGACCTAGTTAGAGGCCGAATTAGCCTTAGGTTAAAACATGAAAGTTGTAGATAATGATGTTTTATAGTTGTCTGAAAAATTTCAGGCCAATCGGAGCAATGTTGCCTATGAAAAGACTGAAATACCCCTGCTGCCCTGTTTCTACCCGAACATGCTAATCAGCTTCTGTAATTGGTTGTTTTGACCAGGAATACTACTGATTTGGTTGTCAATGTCTTCTTAAGACTTATATCCTTGTATCTTAGCTTTTAAATGGCTTTGGAATCACTTGAATTGGAGTTGTATATGCTGAGAGATGACTGAATGAATCAGGACTGCCACAGTAAACTTCGAATTGGAAAACCTGGGGATATTTTGGTAAATTTGACCTAGATACATTGCAAACTGGACTGAGTGGCCTTCTTCAACATTGTACCCCTTTCTCCTAGCTTCGAAACGGTGTACATTACACCTCAATCCGATAAGTGTAGCTCCTGTTACGTCTGTTCCGCTCAGTAACGTTAAAACTGTCTTTTGTTTTCCAAACTAAACTTCATTTCCGCACATGTCATTAGCTTGATTATAATGAGTTTATATTGTGCATGACTTTGGGATTGATTGAGGAAATAATGAAGCCATAAATGGCTGGGAAATAGGTAAATACAAAGGGCGTGCTGCCCAAATTTTCGCTTGAGGGCTAAGTTTCTATTTGAACTTGTATACTTTTGTTTGGCCAATACCATGACCGGTTTTCCATTTTATATCATG